TCAAGAATTATTTCTTTTCAATCTTAAGTATTACATCATTCTTGAAATTTTAATTCTTGAAATTTCCTTCCTGTGAAAAACATTATTCTTTTATCAAATGAAAGTGATAGAAATATAGAAAAGAGCTAGATGATTTTCATATCCAAACTATTTCAAATTCAGTCTGCTTTTGAGAATATGAGAAAAATATGGGAGAAATAAACAGAACAAGAAATATTAGAGAGAGAGAGAGAGAGAGAGTTGAAATGAGTATGTTACGCTTCAAGGCTCTGGAGAGATGAAAGATATGAATCTCATGAATGAATGCAGTGGAAGCTGTAGGTGAATATTGCAGCAATTGCTGAACCATGTGAAGCTAATGGTGAACAAAAGAGATGGCTATTTTGTATTGTTTGCATGATATTTCCCCGGTCTTGAAAAGAACCCATTATGGGAATGAAAAAGGACCAAAACACGGGCATGCCACTATTCCTTGAACTAATTGATTTCTAGGGATATTAAAAAAAAGGGAACTTGAACAAATCATGGAACTACTTCATTCTCACCTTCAGATTAAAAAGAAGGATAAAAAAGGATATCACTCTGTATTCCAAGGGTTTCTCACATATTTACTAACTGAATGCATCCACTTTAACTCAATATCCTGTTATTTAAGATATTATGGGCCTGCTCCATGGTATCCCACTAATTATTAACTACTCTAGATTCTCTTTATTATATCTTAACAATTTATTACCATTTGTATCTGTGCAATATAAATTATTCAACTTGTATCTATAAACTTCCATGATAGCCATCCTACAATAAAAATTTTATGGTGGGCTGCTCTGTGTGCTATCCAAAATTACAGTGTTGGATGGTAATCATCTTTATTAACTTACTCATTCCCCAAATACACTCTTCTTATTTTTCCCACACTTTTTCCTTGAGTATAATACTACCTTTACTAAATAAAATTTAGTAGCATAAAAAAGAAGCCTTGATCTAGTTAGCTCTAGCCTATATACATTAGGATATTTATCATTTGGAACACACATGAGCAACCGGATTTGAAACTTGTGCATCTATTTAAACATACAGGGAATCCGTACAAGCCACAATTATCATTTGCCTTATTGAAACCATCCTATAACATTTATAATATTATGTATCTAGAATCCTGATTTTAAAGAAGAATACATGTAATCACAATATGCATTTACATATAAAATAAGAGTTATTACAACATCTGAATCATTACAATGACAAGTTGTTCCACCACATTATTTCGCTTTCCTTTTATTTATAGTACTTTAACATTGTTTTATAACAATAAATTTAAAATATAAAGTACATAATGACACAAACCAACAGAAAATATTTTCCTTTGATCACCAGTGTATTATCTAATTTTATTTTTGTTAACTCCTTTACTTTTGTAAATATTTATTCTTTCAGGACAAATGAAACTCTCGGCAAAGGTAAACAAAGTTACTTAAAAAAAAATAGAACATTTTCCCCATCTCAATTGAGAAATCTAACATAGTGTGTGAATTATTAATGTTACTTACGGAGCCACATGAGTATTGACAAGTGTGAAATATATCCTCCAAAAGTATCTTTCTTTCATGGTGCGTGGGCATAGTTCATATCTCAATCTTGAAATTTCCTGCGATATTGTAATTAAAATACATAAACATTAATAAAGTAGCAAGTTGTGATACCTAACATGTTTAAACACATATGCTTCAGTCCTTGCATTATAATAGCATGACTGCTTGATGGTAACTAATAATACATTGGAAATAAAGAGGAAGGTGATTCTTTTAATGAATTAGCTTGATCACAATGAAATATCACAGAAGTAAAGCTCAATTAATCATCAAATGGAAACATGGAAAAGGACACGATCGAAGTTTTCCTATATTAGTACTAGTAGGGACCAAATGTATAGATGTTTGCCAGCAAAACACCACCACCACTACTAAAGCTAGCAATTAACCAAACTACCTTAAAATTAGATTGAGAGACAATTTGACTATAATTCATTGAATTTGGTTCGTGAACCAAATGTGTTGAACTTAATCTACGCAAATGCACACACACACACATATATATTAAAATTTTATAATTAATTTCATAATATTTCTGTATGAATAAATAAAAGAAATATGTATCACAATCATAACTTTATATTAAGAAAAGTCAAAATACTTTATAATATGAATATGACCCAAGCTAAAGATTTGAATCAAGACAATCGTGATTTTGAATTATATTTGAACTATAAAAGAGGTTCATATCTGAGTTTAGTCAATTCTTATCAAGTTGTGCTAAACCATGTTTGTCTTGCCTCATTTTCATCCCTAACACTAGTAAAAGATCAATAAATAAAGACTCAATTAACCATTTAGTTCCTACAGTTGCACATATTTTTGGTCTCAGTCCCCACCCCACACATAAAAGCTCTACATTTTAGTCCCTGTTTAAGCATATATTTTGGTGTCCTTACACTTGAAAAAACCGTGTTGCAGTCCCTGTACCTAGAAACTTAATAGTTTAGTCCTTACACAAGATTCCTTCTTATGCTTGAGTCTTTTCTGTCAATTGTCAAATTACTTTGTTAACTTTGGTGTTACCTTCCACTAGCACAATTAAAACAAATGAAGTAAATCAGCTATAAAAGTTTTGGCAGTTTGGTTAAATCGCCAAATAAGGTTGTGGTTGTTAAATAGCCAAAAATTTAAAAACGAAGATGTTTCTGGCGCACTGTTGTGAAAGGCGATATTTTGTCATACATATTGGATATATTGAAATTCAATTGTAGTCAGATATGCTTACAATGGCAGATTTTCACAGGCTTTGAACTTTTATGGACAATTTATGAGATTTATATATAACAGGATATAATGAGTTTAACTTTATCAATGTTTTGATTGCTACTGTAATAAAGAGAGGAAGAAGATAAGGGAAGAGAAAGAAAGTGGAAGATTAGCATAAGAGAAAATAAAAACAACAAACAGGAGGTAAGGCTTCCTTGCTGAAAGTTGCCTTTGACAGAGGTTCACAGAGGAACCAACTTCATTTTCAAAATTCTGTTGACGAAACAACCACCAATTTTTTTGGGGCACTTTTATACGTAGGGGACCAGAACAAAATGTTTGTACAAGTATAGAAATTAAATGGTTTGTTAAACCACAAATAAATAATAAAAAAACATGATGTAAAGGTAATCACCAAAATGACCAGGGAAATCACCAAAATCACCTCTCAATCATGCATCCTTATTTTTTCCTGGAAAACAAAGCTTAGACTGCAAGACTCACACTTACACCAGCCTTTAGCACCTTTCTAAAGTAAACATGTGCAGAGGGATGAATTATAAAGAAATCACAAAGACAAACTACTATTTAAAAAATGTACATTTTCGCTTGGCTTTGCTACATTACCCAAACAAGCATCTGAAATTAGAAGCTCTACAAAGCAATCACATTAACACGCTATTATTAAAAGAGGTGCCTTCTATCTTGCCCATCTGTCCATCTTTTTAGTTCAAAAGGAATAGCCAACAAACATGAATGAAGACAATAGATACACTGCTTATGTTGTCGCTAAACGTGCACTAAAACAAAGAGCATAAAATGCAATTTCCCCACATAAGGAATCCAATATAAAAAAGTATTTAAAATTGAAAAAAACAAGTGAATTTACCTTAACAGTAGTTAAAACGAGAGTGGCATGCTTCTCCTGAAACTCATTGAGATCCTTCCGAACATTGGATCCCACAGTGGCCACATCAGAGACCTCAGGTTCATCTACATTTTCAATCTCACTCACTCAAGCCGTTCAAAAACATTAAAAAAAAGACAGATATCCGCAAATTGGTTTCTAAAATTACCGGAACTGAGAGGAAAGTTCTGGAAGGTGGTGGAAGTTAGGCCCCTGACAAAGGATCTCAGGTCTTCGGAAACGCCGAACTTCTCGAGGTCCTCCGGCGTCGGGGCGGTCGGTGAGGAGGAGGCGGTGGTAGCGGCGGTGGCAATGGCGGCGAATTGCGGAGGGATAGCGATGGTGTCGGAGAAAGACTTGATCTGGTCGGCCTGGCGGAGGGCGGCAGATTTAAGGATGTCGGCCTTCTTGGAGGCTTCGGCGGCGAGTTCTTTGGATTTCTTGGCGGTTTCGGAGACGAGATCGGCGATCCTGGAAGAGGAAGGAGTGAGAGTTTGAGACTTTTTCGCAGCTTCTTCGGCGAAGGTCTTGGCGCGCTTCCACAGGTCCTCCATTGGTCTCTCGGTGAAGAGAGAAAGAAATTGAAGGAGAAGAAAAACGGAGACCGTGGGAGAAACAGATTGGAGGATCTGTTTGACGGGGATACGACAACGTATGGTAAGAGGAGAGGAGTGAACTGCATGGATCTTTTATTTGTTTACTTTTTTGGTATTTATTCATGCGTTTACTTTCTAAACACAAATATCTTGAAATTTAAATTTATATATACCGTCTAAACGTATTTTAATACAAAGATTATGGAGTCTAATGTGTAAATATTTCTATACACACTTTCGAAAAATACTAAATAAAAATAAAATAAACTTCTATGTTATCTAAAATTAGTTCTTGTTCAAGTTAACAATAATTTTCTTGCGAAACCACTATCAATATTGTTACAAATTATTTTATTTTCGTCTATACCTAAATATACTTATAATAAAATTGAATAAATTTATAGTTATAACTAAAATATAATAATATAAATTTTTATTATTACTTATAATTTATTTAGTGACTTAAATATACTCAAGTTATATATATATATATATATATATATATATATATATATCTCTTATATATATATATAATTGAATCCAGTGGCAAATTTTGAGAATGTTTTAGTTTGTTCTTTTGCTTTTATGGTATGGATTTGAGCTCAAAGAACTCTGTACTCATTCATTCTAACTTTTTTTCGTAATTTATTTAGGTTTAATAACTTGGTAGGTTTTATTTTACTCAGAATATCAAATAGTTTTCTTACTTGATATTTTTCAATTGGGTATTTAATTATGAAAAATTAAAATAAATAGAATTCTATAGTTAAATTGGATAAACATCGTTTAAGAGACATGTATGTAACATGTTGATTGTCATTTTTTTAATGACGTGACATATATTATGTGGTAATAACCGTGAAGTGAAATTTTATAATTTTTGAATTAAAAAAATTGAATTAAAAAATTGGAGAACTTTAATTGAAACCAGTCAATCCTTTGTTGTCTTTTATTTTTGCGAAAAGAATGTGGGGAAGAGGTGCTTGGAATTAGGGTTCGTTCTAGGGCGAAAATGAAAAATCAATTGTAGATGTCCCATTCATGTTCTTCTTCAACGTGTAATGGGTGGGGGAAGCACACCCCTAATGTGATTTTTCGTGGTGGTGGAGGATCTAGGATTGTTGGTGTCTCACTCCTTCGCTTTTGTGGAGAAATCATTTCTAAGAATTGCTCGAACTGCTAAGAATATAGGGAAACAATTTTTGGGCTCCCCTAAGTACAAGGTAGAAGAACGTCCATTGTATGTTGTTTCTGTTTGTAGTAAGTCTTTTTAATTGATGTAATTTTTATTTTTATATAATGGAAATGAAGAAGCGTTGCAATTTCTTCAGATGGTGCTGTGATGATGGTATTGAGAAAAGATATTGTAATATGATGAAGTGGGAAGCAAAGGATGAGTCTTTGTCGAACAAAGAAGAAATGGGAGGTCGTACGAAGATGATGACTGATTTGCCGAAATTACTTAAGGTTGTGGAAAAATGGATAAAGGTGTTGATATGAGTGGTTTGTTTGATTTGTGTGCTTAATATAATTGTAATTTCAATATGGATGACAAATCAATAATGTAGCAGTAACTATGACTGTATTAGGATGCATTTTATGAATGTTGAAATCAATTTTTGTGAATGAATGAATGGACCTTGGTTGTATTTAATCTATGTCTAGACTGCGATTTTGTTGGTAAACATGGGACATGGTCAATGAGTGTATTACGATTAGAACCATATTATGGTAAACTACTAAATAAAGTAATTCATGTATGTTTTGTACATGTGTAACAACAAACCCAAACTCATTCTTCCAGTAATAATTGTTTTCAGAAGTAATTGTACCAAATCATCCACCCAATTATTCTTTTCCCTAATATAATTACTACCAAATATGATATCATACCCTTTTCAACAACTATTGGGACACCATGCTTTATGCGATAGAGTTAAAAAATGTAACAATTATAAAACTATCAATCTTATTTGGTCACATTATTAAATAACCTGAACCTGCACTTTTTTGGGGAAAGTTAGTAAGCAAAAGTCTAAACTTGTGAACTACACCAAAACCTATAGTCTGAACTAGAACACAATGTGGCCATTTTAAAATTTCTCATCTTCACTAACACTACTTGGTAATACTACTATGACCAGTGACACTTCTTTATCATACATGAATATGTAATTTAATAACAATATGTGATATAATACAATATTTGATTTAACTATTATGTAATATCCATTACATTACAACATTGTTTTGTCAAAGTCATACACCACATTCAAAGACCATTGTTTTCAAACAACAGATTGCAACATTGAAACAACACACAATAACCAACATTAAAACATAAAAAACATTGTTTTGTAAACATAACTAAAAGTGTACATTGAAATAACACATAATAACCAAAAGTTGTTATAATCATTCCTACAACCTTCTATGGTTGACCTTCATGGTCATGACATAGTTCCTAAACTTGTGATGATGGGATCAGTGGTTGTGATGATGGACTAAGTTCATGGGTAGCTTCTTGGGTAGCTTCCTGGGTAGTTTCTTGGGTGGCCTGTTGGGTGTCTTGTTGGGTTGCTTTGGGGCAACGACTTCTGTTGTGGCCAAGGTCCCTACATAGCCCACATATTTTGCACAAACTACCTTTGCTGAACCGAGAATCATCCTTTCTAATCTCCTATTGTTCTAGTCTTCTTTCTATTTTTAGGTCTTCCTGGTAATATTTTTTTTCCTAGGAGCCATGACATCCGCATATGGTGTTATCTCCCACATGTTGCGGTTGATGAGGTATATAATTGATGCGTATGTTTCTTCATATGTGGACTTCATAAAGCAAGTTGGAATGAACTGCTCTCCATCCATATTTAGAAACTTCATCGTGGCAAGGGAGTGACAACATGGAATTCCTGTGATGCTCCATCTCTTGCAGGAGCATGACAACTCGTCTATGTTGACGACAAACTTCTCTCCGTTGTGGGAGACATGTCTCACTTTAAACAGTTTATTGGCTGACCAGCTGTCAACAAAGTACAACAACAATATTTAGGAACCAATTAAATAATTCAACACAATTCGAAGTAATAAATGGGGTTTGCCTAGGAATCCAATGTTTGGTTAATTGTGATTCCTTTCGGAATTTGGTTTTGATCTTAGGACATATTGATTTTCTAAAGGACTGTATCTAGACTTGTTTATTGTCGATCTTTGCATGATGTACACCTTGATTTCCTCCAACATGGTTATGATTGGTTTACTCCTGGTATGTACAAGAACATTGTTGAATGCCTCACTCATGTTGTTGACCAAGGTCTCACATTTTGGTGTTAGACTGAATCTAAACCTTGACCAGTATCTACAACATATGATGTAAACAAATGTTAACAATATATAAATACAAAATATGAAGTTAAGTTTAAAAGATAAACCTTGGAGGGATGATTATCAAATGCTTAAATGTCTTTTCATTGACATCTTTAATATTTCTCATTTCCGTCTCCAGATTTTTTGGGTGAGTGGCAGTAACTGCCTCCACATCAGACGCTTCAGGTTTTTACCTGGATATTTCTTCCTAAAGTTCACATAGAAATGTCTGACACAAAAATCTCTGGTCAACACCAGGAAATAATTCTTGTATAGCTGGAAGTAAACCCTATGGTTTTAAAATAATAAAGAGCAGTTAATAGCATATATAAGTAATGAATCAATGTAGGAAAGTACCAAATTAAAGATCACTATTACCTTTTGTTGGTTTGACACAAAAGTTATTGATGAACATACTTCTGCACCACCAAGGTCATCAATCAATAGCTCTAGAAACCAGGATCATGAATCCTTATTTTCCACTTCAACCACCGCATATGTAATAGGCAACATTTGGTCATTTGTATCTCTCCCAACAATTGTTAACAACTCACCAACTTTCAAAAAGGCTCCATCTAATCCAATTATTGGCCTACAAGAGACAAAATTGTCTTTGCAAGCCTTAAGACAAGAGTAAAATCTCTTGAAAATTACATCACCGTCATTATCCTCAACATGAACCTTAACTATAGATCCTGAATTTCTTCCCAACAACTCGTGCATAATCATATATCCTCTTATATTATTCCTTAAAGGACCCATCAAATTTATTAGAAGCAATATCTTTGGCTCTATAAGCCATACACCTAGATATACCAATGTTTCATTTTCTTTAAACTTTTTCACGAATATCTACACCCTTCACTTTAGGATTTTCCCTTACTGTTTTCTCCAACTTTTTGCTCAACCACTTGGCATCAAGTAACTTCATGTTGCACTCCCTGCTACAAATATGCTTGTCATTTATAGTTCTCAGCTGCCATGATTTCACAACCTCCATATAAGCACAATATATGTTCCATGAGTATTCTTCTTTTGCACCCACACACTTCAGTCTCAATCTTGTTTTATCATTTTTTACAAATTTTATATTCCTCCCATTTTCCTAAGCATTACCCTTTGATAACTTCTAAAATATCTTACTTTTCAGCAAAATAAATATCAACTTCCCATGTAAAGTCTACCATACTTTTTGGCATACAAAAGGTAGAAAATATCCCATAACCCTCATTTTCATTAACCTCTTTATCGCTATCTGTTGCACTAAGTAATTCCTCATATTTCAACTCCTCATCTCACAAACCTCTGTCATCATCATCAAAGTTGTTGTCTGAATTGTCAGTAGAACATTCTGCACTAAATTCATGTGAAAGACTTTGTACTTCTACTTCCACATTACCAGACTTTTTTCCATCTATATCACCATATCACATTCAACATTGACATCAACTAACCCCTCAAAGCACTGACTATTTCTATGTACATCACCTTCATCACTAGATGAACTCCAACTACGAAGATGAACTTCCTCCTCCACAACTCCTTCACACACATGCAACTCTTGCTCTACGTTACTATCACCATGACCTTCTTCACCCTCATGCACCTGTTCTTGTACGTCACCATCACCTTCAACTTCAACTTCAACATCATTACCATCTTCTTCACCCTCATGTAGTTTTTGTTGTAAGTCACCATGACCTTCAACTTCAACACCACCCTCATGAAACTTTTTCTG